ATAAATAAATTACAAAAGCAAATTATTCTAATGTTAAATAAACAGGAATTTAATGTGTAAAAGAAGTGAAGAGCAGTTTTAAGTTTATGCTTTCTTGTTCTCACCAGGTTCAGGATGCAGCAGATGAATATTGTTGGTTCCAGTCCCATGAGCGCCCCCTCTAGGTTGATTCAAACCTTGCAGGCTGCCCTGGACACACACCCCTCTAATCTGAACCTTGTCTCTGCTACACAGACCAGCCTACGTTTCAGCTGGAAGGTACTGAAACGCACACAAGCACGCACAAATCAAACACATGCCTGATTCTGGGAATCCATTAACCTTTATTGTGCCCCTTTACACTCATTTAAATTGTGCTAATTTGACTGGGAATTCTTTTGTATCTTTGCTGACCTTAATTGTGTATTTGCTCATATTTTTACATCATTGCTCGAGTGCACATAGTATAAGTGTGCACTTTCACTCACCAGCAACACAACTGAACAGGTTGAGTGTGTGACAGCTTATAATCAGTGTCTCTCCTGGTTATCATTGTTCTGAGTAATCTGTCACAGTTCCCATTCAACATTTTGGCCCGCTACCAGCACAAGCAGCAATAAAATATTCTCCTCACAGTCTTTTCCCTTTTTTGCTCTTCTTTATGTCCCACTCTTCATTTCTTCTCTTTACCCCATCCTTTTTTTTTACTCCCCTTCCACTCTTGTATTATAACGTAAATGGAGAGTAGAGGTTTTTTTTTTCCATTTAAGAGTTGGAATGAGAAAAAGAGCCTGTCAAATCAGAAACAGACACTGAGACACTACAGTCTACCAGTGCAGCATGCTAATGGGATTTTACCTGTTAGCGCTCAGCCTAAGCTATGCTAGTTTTCTGCTGTAATGGAACCATCACAATGGTTTTAGCCAAGGCTATTATTCTAAGCTGCATATTAAGGGTAATAAAACTAATGTGACATTCTGTATTATAGCTCCTAAATGCTAAGCTGTGCTAAATCACAGTGGTATTTAAAATGACTGGGTGTCTTACTCACACAACATGAAATAACCACAATATGGTGCTGGTTGAAATTGTCTGAAAATGACATACCATAGACAAGCAGAATATTTAGCTGACATGATTATAAGACAGTAGGCTGATGAGATAATCCATATTCATGTGATGGGTCTGAGGTTATGTAGAGAAAATCAAATGATACAAAAAATACTGGGGTGGAGAGGAGTAGAAAGTCACAGGATGGGTGTAGGGAAATATTTAGTAGTACAGGATGGAAGCTGGCTTTTTCCATAGAGAGCAATTTAAAAAAAAGTACAACTTCAGAGTTGTTTGATGACAAAAATAATCTTACTATTCAAGCGTATTAAATCCTTGAATGTGTTCTTAGGTATTTTAATAGTAATTTTAGTAGATATATTTTGATTTTTATTAAAGGAACTTCAACATTAATGAAGTTCATATTTTAGTGTGCTTGCTCAACTTGTTTACATTGTAACAAAATTTGAATGCAGTTGAACTTATTCTGGTTCAGTTTATTTGACCTTATTGGTTTAAAATCGGGGCACCACTAGCCAAACAGTTTTAGTCTCCTGAGACCCAGATTTTTGTTTGGCGTAAATTTTTAATTTCCCATAGCTTATATATATATAATATTAATAGTTAAATATTTGTCTTGGAATAGGATAATGGGTCAACAAGTTGAATAGATTAAAACGTGTTGCAGAAAGCCAATGTCCTTTTTTGAAAATACAAGGTCTAGGTGGGTTATTTGCATATTTTTTTGTAATGAATATGAACTAAGAATATACTACATTCATTAAACTAAGAATACACAAGACTAAGAATACGCTAAGCACATTCTCAGGCAAACTGCCACAGGCTTATATCAGGAGGCAATTCCCATGTGATTCTGGACGGCATGACGGCTCAGTTAGTAGAGCTGTTGCCTATAAGCGAGAAGGTTCAAATTCAATCCAGCCGGATTGAATCCCGGCTGGGGAGTTTGCATGTTCTCTTTGTTCATGCGTGGGTTTTCTCCTGCTACTCCTGTTTTCTCCCACAGACCAAAAACATACGTTAGGCTAATTGGTAACTGTGTGAGTGAGAGCATGAACGGTTATTTGTCTCTATGTGTCCTTGTGATGGACTTGCGACCTGTCCAGGGTGTCCCCTGCCTCTCAGACTGTGACTGTTGGACATGGGCACCAGCAACCTCTGCAACCCAGAAAGGAAGAAGTGGGTAACATGTTCTCAATCAATCCATCAATCAGCATTTATGTATAAAGCCCTTTACAGCAACAAAAAGGTGCAGAAAGTGCATCACAGTGCAAACGTTAAAAACAATTCAAAAATGCCCACATGTCACTAGGTATTTATTAAAAGCCTGCCTGAATGTTTTATGATGAGATTCTGGTCAAGTGTAAACTAAAAATGTAATTTGGAATATAGTAACATGAGTTTGACAACAATAAAAGCAGAACAAATCTCTTGAATGTATACATCCTCTTTTTTTTAGCCTCTCTCAGCATCAGAGTACAACAGCAGCCCGGAGACTGTGGGCTACCGGCTCCGTGTAAGGAACACAGACAGCGATGGCAAGGACAGAACTATAGATGTGGAGGGAGGTGGGGGCACCACTGAAGCCACCATAGAAGATCTGAGTCCCTGGATCCAGTACCAAGTTCAAGTACAAGCCTTCAATTCCATAGGACCAGGACCGTGGAGCCCTTCTGTCGCAGCACGCACAGCTGAATCTGGTATGAACACAGACCTCATTCACTCCTCTTTCCTGTTGTCCAACAGAGACGCCGGTGAAACATATTACTCTCTGGGCATAAGAAGGCAGATGGATGAGAAATAAAGTGCTCCAATTACTTTTCTGTCTCTCCTCTCATCTTGCCACCTCTCTCTGCCCTTTACTCGCTCCCTCAATTTCAGAGAAGGGAAGATTGATGGAGAGAAGGAGGGGGAGATGATTGAGGTAAAATCGAAGATTGGTTCAGAGTGTCAAGTAGCACTGAGCGGTGTGTGTGTATATGTGTGTTTCTGTGTCTGTTCTTTAGTTCCATCTGGAGCTCCGGTGAATGTGACTGCTGAGGCAGTGAGTTCCTCCAGGATCATGCTCACCTGGTCCACTCTTCCTCTGGCACAAAGGAACGGAGTCATTCTTGGGTATAAGGTGAATAAAACACTCAAAACACCTATAGAGATGCTCAAGCCGACCGTAATATTCTCACTTGACCCTCTCAGCCCATTATCACTTCCTCCAACACTCATGGGCTCACACACACAACTGTACACAGACATCCACACAAAAATCTGATCCCAGCTGAAAATGATGTAATATCATGTAACTGTTCCAGTTTGTTTCTTTTGCACTGTTGCTTTTAAAAGCTCCCTGCTGCAGTAATTATGTTTGGGGCATATGTGTAATAGCTGTCCATAAATATTAGTAAGGCTTTAATCCTTTAAAGAAACGGCAGTTTGTGTCAGGTTGTGTGTGAAACAATAGATGGATTTAGTTTTTGAAAAATGGACAATAATCCATAAAGCCTGTTGGTTTTTAAAGCTACAAATATCTGTAATCCTAAAATATAAACTACAGCTTTAGAAAAAAATTCAATGTTTTGTGTGTATATTCCCAGTCTGAAAAGACTTTGGAGATTCAGCATTAATATTTAAGACCGGACGTCCAACCCACTTAAGCAACCAATCCTGCAGTCTGTCCGCATTTTTCACGTTAGAGCTCACCCTTTTCTTGTTTTTATAAAGTAACGTAGAGAAATATGTCATGTTCTAAGCTTAAATGGTTTCATATTCCGATCTCTAAGAATCCGCACAACCCTGCAGCATTTTATCTGTTTCAGCATCAATAGAAAACATACCTGTATTTCTGCAGTGTTGCTTTTCGAAATCACACTTAGCATCCATCAAAATAAATTTAAAAAAGCTACTGTATATTAAAGGGAGAAATATCCCCATTAGTTGTGACGACATGGTTGTGTTACAAACATACATTTTCAAAAGAAAACAAGCTGTGTCTGTGTGATATAAATGGGTCTCTTTACTTTTATTTAATGTCAAATATCCAGGCCATTATCGACCATGCCTAAAGCACATCACACCCCACATCTGAGTGATTTCTTGTGCTTCCCTGTGCATCACACTGAGCAGCATGTCTGCCATGTTAATAGATGGGAAGTGGCTGCCAGCAGTGACTCTTTAACACCTTACACCCCCCACTAAACGTTGAATAGTTGTCCCTTCCTCCTGCTGTGCATGACATGTCTATTTTCATTTTTAGGCGCTTAAGCTTGAGGTGACCTTTTCCTCGACTAGTTTTAACTGCAATACTCTTGTTCAAGTTCACGAACATGAAGAAATAAATCAGAAAGAACAAGAACAGTTCTTTACACATTTATGGAGTCTGTTCTGGCCTATGAAGGCACTCTGTGTCCTGATTTGATTTTGTGGGGGGGGTTTTTGTGGGGTTTTTTAGATGAGCGTTAGTGTAATAATAATTTCAGCATCAAACTTTGTCTTAGTTAAAAATTGATAACATCCATTGTTTTGTACAGTTGATGAAGGTTGGAACCTGATATAATCTGTTTTACTGTTCCTATGCATTGTAGGTCAGAAATATATCCCCGAGTCAGATTGTCCTACAGATTACATGCAAATAATCTACAATATTTGAGTTTTCCTTTTGATTAGAATTATTTTTTATTTTATTTACATATTCAGTACTTGGTCAAAGGTTTTTTTTAGATTTAATGAATATTTCCTTATTTTTGAAATGTCAGTGGTCATGTTCCTGCCAATACTGAGGTGTATTTTGTATGAGCCTGATAACTGCTGGAGAACCTGGGTGCCTTCTTCCCTGCTCTGTTGGTGTTTACATTTTCCTGTTAACTCTTGTCCTCCTGTTGCAACAGATTGCTTGTTCGTGCTGTTGCTGTTGCTGTTTATTTATTTATTTATTTATTTAATTTGTTTGTTTATTTACTTGTTAATTTTTTTTTTTACTTTGCACTGTGTAAAAAGTCAATGAGAAATGAGCTGCTTTGTGGTGGAATATAATTTGTGAAAATGAGTCTAGTATATCAAAGTCAAAACGTTTAGGTTGTAGTTGCAGCTCAGGAGGTTGACCTAACTTTCAATCAGTCTGTACAAATTTATATTTTTGTTGTATTATAAGATTGTGCTGTATCATTTCAAAGTCTAATTTAGTTTTTACCTTTTAGACGGCTGCATGCAAATTCATCTGAGCTGATTTTATACCCAAAAATCCTTCATCTGCACAGAGTGACACAGATGGAAAATTTAAGTACCACTGTGAATCACAGATAAACCTTTAGTCCAGGTTTACTGCATCACTGTAAACCTTGCTATACCTCTTTTTTGTGTGTTTTTCCTATAATTGTTGAGTGAAGTACATTAATATTTTTAGACTTATTTAAATTTAGGTTTTTGATTCTAACTTTATCACTCTTATTAAAGTATGTTAAAACTGAGCTTCTACAGTAGCTCTATTATGTAACTCCATCCATGGGAGGTTTAGACCAACCATAGACCTGACTTCATAAATCCAGAATTTTGTTAATTCCTTTTTATTAATTATTTATAAATTAATGTAAACAAGTTTCATTTATAAAGTTGACAAAGGTTGACGGGCTTGTGTTTGTAATTTATCCACAAATTAAAAAATTGTATTAAATATTTGTTGTTGTGCACAGGTGTTGTACAGTGAGAAAGATGTGGAAGGTCCTCCTAAAGTAAAAGTGGTAGAAGGACAAGGAAGTTTGGCGTTGCTCCTCAGTGGCCTCCAAAAGTACACAGTATATGTTCTGCAAGTGCTGGCGTACACGCAGCTTGGTGACGGCCCACTCAGCAACCCCATTCTGCTCCGAACCAAAGAAGATGGTAGGGATTATCCTCCTTCTCAAACCTCTCACTGTTCTGTTTATTTACACGTCTGTCATTGATTATTTTTATGTGCAACATCAGCTGCAGGGACATAATAATAGTTCCTGACTTTTCAAGAAGCAACAACCTTGGTGTTGTTCCTGAGAGTCATATAAAACAACTGCAGCTAATGAACACAGACACACACAGGAAGACTTACGTGCAGCCGCACAATCACACACACCAACAATCGTCCCCTATCAAGCAGTGTCACGTTTGAAAAGTTTTTCTCATTTCAGGATAAAAGAAGTAAGGCAAAGTCAATTTCTGGCGCTGTGTAATGAACCTCCATCCTGTTTGTCGCACACATACACATATACTGTACACTTGGAAATGAACTCACGCTCAAGCTGACATGTATTTGTTCAGGTGGAACATGTACTTTTATCAGCAACAAAGACAAGTTGGTGTGACGTTAAGAAAATTACAATTTCTGTTTTGTCTTGTTGGGGATTTCTTCCCAAATGTGTAGAACAGTATACATTTGTCAGCAGAAAGCATTTTCACAGAAATGCTCAGTGACTATGGTAGAACAAGAGCCAGACGCTGCTTTTCTCATTAGAGAAGTAAAGAAGTTCATCTGAGCCACTTTTTCTGCTGTTATAAATTAATATGCTTTGATTGAGTTGTCAACTTTTTTGTCTGCTATTCTTCCTAGTACCTGGGCCCCCAATCCGGATGGTGTTTCCAGAGGTTCGGTTGACATCGGTTAGGGTGGTCTGGCAGCCACCTACATTCCCCAATGGCATCATTTTAGGTATAAAAACAAACATGAACATTTAATCAAAAAGCTGCTGAGGGACAATTCCTGGCGTACAGAATTAATGTTTTTTCATTTTCTAACATTTGCTCACATTTTACTGGGATCATTTAAAAAGGGGGGAAGTGAAATGGAAAAGTAATGGTTTCAAACAAGGTGGAGCTTTCTGTGCTTTTCAGTGGTAAACTTTATTCACCTATGCTGGTATGAGTTATGAAACCAGTAGCTTGTAAAAGAACTGTTATGTTAGTCATGAAGACACTTTCCAGAATCCGTTCAGACGTAGACCATGATAAGAATAATGATTATCTGCAGCAGTGCAGTGTGACTGAGTCTGAACAGGTGAGAACAACATGTGAGCTGCTGGGCTGCTAACGCAGAGGACAGACATAAGTACAGGGAGAAAGGATGTGCGTCTGTGTGTGTGCGCACGCATTGGAAATGAGTGGTATTTGTCCTCTCAGTAGGGGAGGGACTTGAGCTGGACAGTTTGACTGATGTGTGATTGCATTCTATTGGAGGGAGGACATTTAGTGTGACAGAGGGATGAGTAGGAGGGCAGATCACTCACTCCTAATCGCACCCACAAACACACAAGCAGTCCTGCTGTGTCCTTTTTGAGTTCACGGTGTGCGTCTTTGCAGATATAATGCCTGTAGTGCATTGGTTCCTTTAGTTCTCAGACTGGTTCATATCCCCTGGAGTTCTCAGTGGACGGCTGATGCAGAAGATGAACAGAAGGGAAACAATAACACAAATGGTGTATGATTAGATTTGGCTCAGAAGCATCAATGCTTCCTGAGAACCTGCATGCACAAATTAGCATCTTCGTTTCAAATAAGCTGTAGACTATTTTCCATCCATTGATTATATGAAGATTCAAATATTGTTTATTGTGATTCCATACTGTTAAATAAAATATGTATAATTCTAATTTGTGATTTACATAAAGTAGCAGCAATCTGACTACATTATACCTAATAATCTGTACATATCTCTTCCAACATGGCTCAAGTCTGAATCACTGCAGTCACATTAACACACACACCAGCTGTGAATTAGTTTAGCCTTTGATCAGCTGTTCACTGGAATCCAAGAGCTCGCCATTAAATAAATATATAAATGACAGTGCTATTTTTACTTCCCCCCCTTTTGCTTTTACCTGTGATAATTAGCTGCAGCACCTTTATCTAACTCCATATGAATATTTCCACTACTCCCATTGACTGCAGTTGTTTAACACGCTGCTACACGGTTCTTGAACTTAAAATAGATATTTATGTCAAAACAACATCCAAAAACTGTAAATCTACAGAGGTTTACAGAGTTGTGTGTGTTTTTGCAGCTTCCTGTGTTATAAACACCAGTGACAGCTGCATCCTCAAGTGAATTAAAATATCATGTCTTTTTTGAACTGATGACATCAGGGGTGCACTTAAACCCTCACAAATACAACTGTGTTTATTAAACTCAGACTTCACTGGCAGAAACCTCACCATTACAAATTGAGTTTATAGGTTTATTCAGAGTTAAGAAAGTAAGGATGAAAGACTCAGTCGAGCTGAAGGTTGAGTTTCATCTAGGAAGTTTCATGGGTGAGTAGAAAGAACAAGATGGAACAGGGTGGAGGTACTGTCTGGGCAAATATGCTGGCCACATCAGGACCTTCTAGAGGAATAAGCAGAAGTTGGTAGAGATCAGGTAAGGGATGAAGGATGAAAGCAAGAGAAATGTATGGTGTATTGGACTGTACTGCATGTAGATGAATCTAACTGAATCAAGACATTGTGGAACTGGATCAAGATTGGAGCTACTCTGTGGAGCTTTCTGGTGTATTTTCACTGGTCTATATGAAGGCTTACCAGGTGAGCAAAGGTGTGTTTGAGGTATGACCCTTCTCTCTAATCCAAGTTGAAATTTTATGTTGAGAAAGTTTGATTTTAAGCAACTTCTATTGTTGTTTTATACAACTAACGTAAATGAACTGAATGTGTGTAAATTATTGTAGAAGGATCAGGTGAGCAAATTCAGACTTAATAAAGATGTTTGTATAACATCTCACTTGATGTTCTGTTAAATCTCATGTGAATGGTAAATACTGAGTGTACAGCAGCTTGCTCCATCAGGTGTACAGACATGACTAAATGAATAGTGAAAGCATAAACAATATTTGAAATGTCAGCTTTTTTTAAGTGATAAAGCCAATAACGTTGCACATCATGTTTTGCACAAAGCTATAGTTTTATATTAACTTACACAATGATTGTAGTCTCTTTAAAGAACTACAATAAAAAAATATAAATATGTACCATTCAGTAAAAGGGTTGGAAGCAGTTTGAGGCTCTATTTACGATACATCTTGCTGAGTCAGAAAGAGGGGGTCTTTCATTGAGCCAGTCACTTTGTGTAACCCAGATTTAGCCTTATGTACCTCACAGCAGCATAATCCTAATAACAATTTGCACAAAACACTGTTGAGTCTCGACCCAGTTGTTTAGATGCCATTTGTGATCTAGCAGTATTTTCATTTAGGTCCCACATGCAAAATTTACAATAGCACACAATCGGACTATCTGATGGGATTATCACTCGCAAAATCAGATTAGGTTCCTCTAAGCGGAGTATTATCTCATCATTCTCTGTGTGACCTAATCACATCATCTTTGTTGTGTGTTTCTACTCATTTGTAGACACACGGGGGGTATATGAGTGTGTGTGTGTTCTTAGTACACAGTACAATGTTTGTAATATAAGTCTTTGTGAGTGACCAGTGGCCTGTGCAAAACTTGGATGGGGATCAGTGGTTTGCGTATGTGTTGAAGGATGTTAGTGTTATTACATGGCCTACTGCACATGAGACCAAGAAATAGACACAAGCCATGTAGACCATGGGTCACTGCCAAGGTTACAAAAGAGAAGTTGTGTTTATACAATGTCAGTGAAAGAAAATGTGTGTGTGAAATAGTGGAAGCCTGGAGTTTATCATCAAAACTATGACAATTCAGGACAGAAGCCACGCATGTGAGGACACAGTACACGAAGAATTAAATGTGTTGTCATTCATCACATTTAAGACGTTGAATAATAAGCTACACAGAACAAAAATATAAAAACGCTTTTGTTTGTGTTCCCATTTCTTATGAGCTGAACTCAAAGAGCTAAAACTTTTTCTATCTACACAACATGCCTTGTTCTCTCAAATATTGTTAACAAATTTGTGTAAATCTGTGTTAGTGAGCACTTCTTATTTGCCAAAATAATCCATCCACTTCAGAAGTGTGGCATATCAAAGTGCTGATTAGACAGCATGATTATTGCACACGTGTGCCTTAGGCTGACCACAATAAAAGGCCACTCTAAGATGTGCAGTTTTATCACACAGCACAATGCCATAGATGTTGCAGGTTTTGAGGGATTGTGCAATTGGCATGCTGACTGCAGGAATGTCCACCAAAGCTGTTGCTCGTGAATTGAATGTTCATTTCTCTGTCATAAGCCGTCTTCAAAGGCATTTCAGATAATTTGGTAGTACTGTAGTGAACCAGATAACCTCAAATCTACCAGATGGACAGAGACTGTTATTTTCATTGATCTGAATAAGTCTGAACCATCTGATGAACTTTCTTTCTTGAATTAATCAAGCAGAAAAGACAATTCTTTATAATCATTACTGTCTTACAAATGTTTTGATAATCAAATTGTGTTAGTTCACTCAATGCTTTACAGGTTGAAAAGAACTACTAATTTTTATTTTTACATAAACAGTAAGTAATGATTTTTGTTCCTCATTCAGAGAAGAAATCACCTGAATATGACTTTCTTGATTTTCTGTCTGAAATGAGCAAGCTGTCGTAAGTATGTTAAAGGTTGGTTTTCGGTCAACTAAAATGTTTACCGAGAAAAATGTCATGTTTTACTATTTGAAAAGATTACAAAGTGTGAGACTCCACGAAGTCTGCTGTTGCTGCAATAATCTTTTCTGTATGTTGTAAACAATCCTTGACTTATGATAACATCTTACGTCACAAATCCACTCCTCTTTCTGGTCCTTCCACGAATCAGAAAGCTCTAAATTGAACAGGAAGTCGACCCAAATAAAATGTGGCAACTTCTCAGTTCATGAAAATGGAGAAGAGAAGGAATAGAGAATTATGGATTCCAGAATTCCAAGAGAATGAGAGTTCTGAGAGATGTTGGAATGAGAGCTGACAACAGGTCCGATAGTCCAACAGAATGAGCAGATTGAGAGTGCAACCGGTTATGAAGAGTTTGGAGTTATGAAGAACCAGGGACGTTTGGGATTATAAGTCTGTTTTGAGCTAACCACGCACGACTCTCCGAGGATTTTTAGCTGTGCTTAACGGAGGCGCTGGAAACAGTCTGAAGGATGCTTACTGAGCTGATCTATCGTCAAACCAGGTAAAGGCTTCTTCTTCGACTAAAGTGTACCGTGGACGGGCTGAGGATCTGACGGAGCGTGCAATTTCTGGTTAAACAGATTAAACTTCCCTCACACAGTTCTCTGTAAGATAATCTCCTTTCACTCTAAAACCCACCTCTCTCTCATAAATCAGTACAGATATTTTAGAAATATCTTAAGCAAAGTCCTCAAATCACCGCCGAGTGATTTGAAGTTCATTTTCTGTGAAACTGTCTGTTATTATTTTCATATTTTGCCAAATTAATGTAAATGTTTGATGTTAAACTTTGATTTTGAAAATAAATGATTCCATTCATTTGATGGGTCAAAGATAAATAACGTCTCTCGTTCACATTTCTGTTAAATTCAATGCACGACATTTACAGTCAGAAAAATGAAGAACTCGTGAAAAGTATGCATAAATATATATCCATATATTTGTCATACAACAAGTGACACGTACCTCACGTGTCTCACTACAGTACATTACATCCAACTGGCTTCATAACCACTCCAGTCCAGGACTTTCACATCCTGCATTTTCACCTTCAAGATCATCTGAGACCAGCAACCTGGACAACTTCTGCAACAATCGGTTTGCATAACCAAAGACTTTCTGCAAAAACTGTCTCGGGGAAGCTCATCTGCATGCACATTGTCCTCGTCGGGGTCTCCACCTGACGGCAGTTTGTTGTCGTTATCAACTTGAGTGTGCAAATGCTTACATTCGATGACGTATGGCACGTTGGAGAGGTGTTCTCTTTATGAATGAATCCCGTTTTTCACTGTACAGGGCAGATGGCACACTGTATGTATCATGTTGTGTGGGTGAGTGGTTTGCTGATTTCAACGTTGTGAATCGAGTGGCCCATGGCGGTGGTGGGGTTATTATACGGGCAGGCGTATGTTATGGACAATGAACACAGGTGCATTTTATTGATGGCATTTTGAATGCACAGAGATACTATGGCAAGATCCTGAGGCCTGTTGTTTTGCCATTCATCGACAATCATCATCTCATGTTGCATCATTATAATGCACGGCCCCATGTTGCAAGGGTCTGTACACAATTCCTGAAAACATCCCAGTTCTTGCGTGGCCAGTATACTCAACAGACATGTTGCCCATTGAGCATGTTTGGGATGCTCTGGATCGGCGTATACAACAGCATGTTCCAGTTCCTGACAATATCCAGCAACTTCACAGCCATTGAAGAGGAGTGGACCAACATTCCACAGGCCACAATCAACAACCTGATCAACTCTATGTGAAGGAGATGTGTTTCACTTTGTGAGGCAAATGGTGGTCACACTAGAAACTGACTGGTTTTCCAACCCCCGGACCCACGCAATACAGTAAAACTGCACATTTTAGAGTGGCTTTTTATTGTGGCCAGCGTAAGGTGCAATAATCTGCATATAATGCTGTCTAATCAGCATCTTGATCTACCACACCTGTGAGGTGGATGGATTATCTCGGCAAAGGGGGAAGTGCTCACTAACAGATTTACACAAATTTGTGAACAATATTTGAGAACAAGGCTTATTGTGTTCATAAAAAAGTCTTAGATATTTGAGTTAAGCTCATGAAAAATGGGAGCTAAAGCAAAAGTGTTGTGTTTATATTTTTTTGTTCTGTGTGTGCTCCTCAAACCAGTCTAAAATAACAAATAAATAACATGAAGGTCCAAAAATCAAAGTCCAGAGGCCAGCTTAGGGACTGGGTTCATGAGCCTCACAGCCTCAGGGAAGAAGATATTCTCAGCCTTGTTGTCTGGACTTTGAGGCTGCATAACTTTCTGCCTGAGGGAGGGGGTAAACTCATGAGTTGAAAAGGTGGGGTCCTCAATGTTTTTTGCACTGGTTCTGCATTTACTTGTCCTCCAGTGAAGGGAGGCTATTGTTGGTCAATTTTTGAACTGATATAATCGCTCTTTGTAGTATCTTTTTTTTCAGCCTCAGAGTAGTTTCCATACCAGCCTGGGGTATAAAATGTCAGGATACACTCCATCTCACACCGGTTAAAAGATGTCACCACGGCAGCACTTCAAACTCATAAAATACCATCGTTGCTACAGTCCTTCTTAATTATGCTTATGTGAGGTCATCAGACACATGCAGGCCCAAGTATTTAGCTGTTTTCATCTGCTTCACTGCTCGAGGAGAAGAGGGGTGTAAGCGCTGCTCCCAAACTCCACCACCAACTCTTTTGTGTTTGCCACAGTACTGCTAAGGTTATTTACTTTACACCAATCAGCAAGCTCCACTTTCTCCCTTCCTATACATAAACTAATCATTTTTGGAAATCAATCCAACAGAGTAATTTGTCAACTTCACAAAATGATTTCCTGATGGGGAGTGGTTGTGCAGAGGTTAGACCATGAACAGATGATCGAAAGATTACCTCTGCTCTTACATCAAAATGTGGGTGGAGAAGATGAGGCATCCACATCTGCCATTAACCCCCAACCCCATCTGCTCCACTAGCCATCCTACATGGCAGCTCTGCTCCACACACAGGGCTGTGGTAGCTCAGTGTTCTGTGGTTGTGTCAGGAAGAGTATCCTACGTACAAACAACTGCCAAATCCTCATGCGAGTTGGCTCGCTGTGGCAACCCCTGAAGGAGGGAACAGCCAAAAGAAGAGAAAAAAAAAAAAACATGATTTTCTGGATAACTTGCAGATCACATGTATGTGAGTAGAGTGAACAGGAGGGGTCTCAGGACCCATCCTTGTGGGGAGCCAGTATTGAGAGCCATGAAGAAATATGTTTAGATGTCAACATTTCTCACACATTCCCATCAATTCCCTTTTTACCTTCTGTCTTTTCTCCTGTTCCTTTCTAGGCTACCAAATATCCTACTGTCTTGACAGCAGGGACCCTCAGCGATGGACCACAGTGGAAGTGGGCTCCAACGCTCGCCAGTTTACCGTCACTGGACTCTCCTCTGAGCAGACCTACAAGTTCCGCCTCACTGCTCGCACTGCGGTGGGCTGGGGTGAACCTCAAGAGGCCCTGGTGGTTACGACTGAACGCAGAGGTAAAAAAAACACTTATACCTAATGTGAATCCAGAAATTGCATATAAATCACAAATATATATATATACTTTATATACTTCATTTGACCACTCAAGCATTAAATGATTCATTGAAAAACTATTTTCCTTCTGGACCTTGGCCCTTGTGCTATCATGTTTTGGTTAGGACCCACAGTTGAACCCACAGTTCAGACAGACTCGAGGAACTCGAAGGTAAAAAATACAGAAAACAGATTTATTAACATAAAAAAGACTGCCATGGCAGCAAAACTTACATGAATACTCAATTTTTGGAGGCACAAGAGGGACAAAGCATGAACAACTGTGGGAAACAATGCACAGCCAGGGAAGAAATGCAATGATGCGGAACTTAGAGACACTAAGGATAATGAGGATCAGGTGAAGGTAGGAGGGACATGAGGGGAAAAACACTGAGAAGACTGAACAGATAAGTAAAACACAAGAAACAGAACTCAAACACAAGATTCTCCAAACATATAACACAGGGGGAATAAAAAATATACTCTTAAGAACTAAGAATGCGTAACAGAAAACACAAACATGTGCTAAGTGCTTTAAACGATCAGATCATCAACAGGTGTTTGAAGAATATCAGTGTTAAAATGTGAGCTCCATCTCCAGGACAGCAGATCAAATATTTTTTTCCCAAGGATAAACATAAGAGATGAGTCCTTATGAAGCATTCGAGGTAATACCAGTTAAAAGTCTCCCTCAGACAATCTGTTGTATTCAGCCTGAAGGTGGGTCAGAAGACAGAAATGCAATAAAATGAACTTTTCAACCAAAAAGGGTGGTAAACCACTGCTGAACTTTATCTTGGCATGTTTTTTTTAGAAGAGCTGCTGTCTTGATGAGCCAAGTTCAGGACTCAGGACTGAAACAGGATCCTAATGAATGCTATTAGTTGTGCCTGCACTTTTTTTTTCTACACTGAGTCAAACTATCTGCTGTGAGAAAAACCCACAGGGATGTATCTTTTGCTGTGTTTGCAGCAAACAGTATGTGGTTGATGGTTCGCTGATGGTGTTGCTTATAGTTTCAGCTAGTTGAAAAAAACTTGGTAGACTGAAAATCTCCAATGGCGGTCTGCCAGTGTGTGTGCACAGAGAAAGGGTTTGTCTCCTGAAATTTAGAAATATTATAACAAACTTTTTTTTTTTTTATTCTAAAGCATGACAGTTAAACAAATTTAGCATGAATCTAAAAATGTTTTATCTTGGATGCGATATTTATTTGTAGCAACAAAAAAAAATGCGAATAATGAAAAATGATTTAGAATTAAAAGTTTTGAACGTTGATCAGTGAGACCCTGCAGCTTATGTAGAGCAGCTTGAGCTATGGTATTGGTATTTTCCCTGGAATTATTTATATAAATGCATTTAAAATGTTTGTTTTAAGAGGACTTAGAGCAGGGCTATTCAACTGGTGGCCCGCGGGTCGGAAATGGCCTGCTGGTGACTGCAATCTAGCCCACTTCATAATTTTTTTTTTTTTTTAGGGTTCTGGGTTTAGGTTCCATTTATTGCATTTATTATTCAATGCAGTAAAATAAACAAATTTAAAAGGTAACTGATCATTGTAAAACTTGGTTTATTTATATAATGACTTCCATCGCTGGATGTCCGGCCCCTGAGCTGCTGGCTTTCAGTAACTGTGGCCCCCTGAGCAGTTTTGTTGAAAAGCCCTGATCTAGAATTTTTGCACTTTTCTTTCTTTTCATGGTAACAGTTCAACACACACATGAATTGAACATAAATGCATACATGCAAAATATCTTAAACATCCAAGAAGTTATGTTAAAAATTACAGCCTCCCATGAAGACCTGTGTTGTGCATCAGACTATATGTAAAACCCACACAAAAATGGAGGTCAGATATAGAAAAGTGAGCAGAATATTCAGATGTTACTAGTGCCTTAATGTTGCCCTATTATCCATCATCACTGAGCACTGAAAATTATCAAAAGGTAGAAAGTATGACCTTTTCAGTGTAAGGGGAGTGTAAAAGTACAGAACAAGATGAAATGACATTTATAGACTCCAGTGGGCTTTGCCATAAATGTGGATAATAAACGCAGTAGGGACGAGCCCTCCTATAGAGTTATAGCAAGAGTCGGAAATTTAAAAACAACTGCAGGGTTTAGAACAAGTCCAAATTTATTGATTTCTTGCTTGAAATTAATTAATTTAACTCTCTCAAAAACAGATTTCACCACTATGGTTAATTTTCTGTTTCCACCAGCAGCGCTGGATTTTTGAAGTGGAGGGACCACGGGGGTCTTTTGCCACCTTGCACTCTCTGTTTATACGCACCTTGAATGTCAGGCGCACATGTTCAATTTTGCCACACGGTAATGTAAATTTGTACTTTCACAGTCATCAGATTTGGAAAAGTTTGCAACAAAAGTATTTATTTTGAAAATGAAAAATATATATACATGTGTATATATATATATATATATATATATATATATATATATGTATATATACACAAATATATACACATATATATATATACACATATATATATACACATATATATATACATAACTATTATTTATATATATATGTATATATAACAAACTGCAGTAATTAGGTGTTCTTTTTTCCACAGAGCGGTGTAGATAGATATTTCTCTGTTTATGTCGTTTAATCGTTTGTGGAGAACTTATGAAAATGATTTTTGCACTTTTGTTTTTACACAAACTACAGTTGTCTTTAAAAAAAAAGAAAAGAAAAAGGCAGAAGTTTATTGGGTGGGGAAATGGTTCCGTGCGCGGTGGATGTCTGGAGAGATTATGTGACAGCTGTTTCTGAGTGACATGCATTCAGAAATCGGAACAGACCTGCTGTCACAGGTCTTGAATGATTATTTGTTTCTTCTGTTATTTCAGAGATGAGAAGGTAAGTTCTCCTTCTCCTCCTCTGGCTAAATTTTCTTCAAATCAACCTGCCATCGCAGCAAAGTTGCAAACTCCAGCTGCTTTTGGACGAACCTAACTAAGGAGAACCTCAACATCTTCATTTCTGCCACTTCTAGTTCGTTCTCCTGTCATTTTGTCCATGCCACTGTCTCCAGACCATAAAACATAGCGGTCTCACCACTGTCTTGTAAACTTTTCCTTTGACCATCCAGATATACAGTACACCTAGCATTACTGTTTGCTAACACTAATGATAAAAACAGCTACAAGTCATATGATTAACTTACTTACCGCCTTTGTTTGATGTCGGATGACCGTAAACGGCTGTGATAAATCCACAAGGCCACATATTATTCCTTGGTATACAATGAAATTTGCAGTATAAAGCTTGGAAAAGCACTAGAAGACAATGAGTTTGCTTGTACTGTAGCTACTTAGCTTCTTTGGACATCTGTGCCGAAACTCAAAAAGATGCTGATTGGATGGAATGAAAGTTCACCTGTGATTTCATTGGTTGAATTTTTTACCTCTTTGTAAACTTCCATTGTCGCTACATAAATCACGTGACACAGTCTGTTCAGGGTCCTTCCTCCACTCTGCACCTCTGCACGCATACAGACAGGTAGAGAGCTGTGCTCGGACTGACAGTTTATTACACTGCCTGCCCCCCAAAAAAGTCGCCACCTGTACAAGCCTCCTATTGGATAATTACTGCATGGGTGATTATCTTTCAGCTGGCAACAAGTTATTTAACCCCAACTGATGAAATTGCTTCTCGTGCTTTAAACAACCATGTCGAAAGACACCGTGCGTGTTTGTGGAAAAGATGTCAGTCTCTTTGAGAAGGGTCAAATCATTGACATGCATTAAGCAGAGAAAACATCTAAGGAGATTGCAGAAACTACTAAAATTGAGTTAAGAACTGTCCCAACGCATTATTAAAAACTGGAAGGATAGTGGGGATCCATCGTCTTCAAGGAAGAAATGTGGCCGGAAAAAAATCCTGAATGATCGGCGATCACTTAAACGTTTGGTGAAATCAAATCGAAGAAAAACAGCAGCACTCAGGGCTATGTTTAATAGTGAAAGTAAGAGCATTTTCACATGCACAATGTGAAGGAAACTTAAGGGATTGGGACTGAACAGCTGTGTAGCCTTAAGAAAACCACTAACCAGTGAGGCTAACTGGGGGAAAAAAAAGCTTCAATTTGCTAGGGAGCATAAAAATTGGACTCTGGAACAATGGAAGAAGGTCATGTGGTCTGATGAATCCAGATTACCCTGTTCCAGAGTGATGAGCGCATCAGGGTAAGAAGAGAGTCAGGAGTGATGCACCCATCATGCCTAGTGTCTAGTCATCAATGCAAGAGCTTGGTGAAAAATTAATGCAACGCTAGACGGAAAGATCTTGTGACATTGCAGAAGCTTATCGAAACAATGTCACAGCAAATGCATGCCGTAATCAAAGCTAAAGGTGGTCCAACGAAATATTAGTGTGTGACCTTTTTTTTTGGTGGCAACATTTTTTTGGGCCAGGCAATATCTAAAGCGGGAGATAACTAGATATTTTATTTGGGCATTTGTGCAGTTGCCCTAACTGTGCAACATAGATTTTCTTGTGCACAGAGAATGTGCGAGCAGTGCACAATTGTGGAGGTGCTCCGCTTAGAAGGAACATAAATATCTGGGACCAGCTGATGGGCAGGGCCGTAAAGTGGGGGTGCCAATGGCCCCCCACCCCCCCGGGGGACAATGCCCCCCCCCCCGTTCCGGTGCCACTGGTTTCCATCCTGATATATAGTGGGCAGATGGACATTGTACAGTTGGTGAAAATTTTAATAAGATTAGAGCTCTTTTTTTAAGTTAAAACAACAATGTTGCTAATACACCTGTACACCATCAGTCTTTTTCTAAACAAGAGTAACAGATCGATAATTCTGTAATTTCTCTTTGACAGTCTGGCAGTTATTATGTTTTTAGGACAAAAAGCATGCTGTTAATTCATTGTAACATGTCATCTAATCATATCAGCCAGCAGTTTCTTTGCAAAGTATAAA